CTCGGGGCCCTGCTCGGGGCCTCCCTCGGGGCCTCCCTCGGGGCCCTCCTCGCCGCTTAGAAGCTCAAATCGCTGTCAGCAACGTGGCTGCTCCACAGCACAAGCGTTTCTCGTCGCTTGGCTAAGGTTTGGCGATGCGAAAGCGGCTGATCTGTAGTCAATCAGCTGTAGCAAATCAGTCTGCGTTGGTTGTGGTTTCAGGCCGGTGACAGCCGCGAGCAGCCTGGGCTCTGGTGCTGCAGGGTGTGTAAAAGGTGTGGATGCCTCTTGAGAGCCACGATGAAACAGGCAGAGTTAAAACGCCCACCGAGCACCGCGTGCGGAGAGCCAGACAGGAAAAAAAAAAAATCTGCAGACTGCTTTTGCTTGGAAAATGTACAGAGAAGGGATGTCCAGAGAGAGCGCTGTGTCAGAGGGCTGGTCCGAGGGATCAGAGAGGAGCAGTGCTCTGACAAAGCCCAGAAATGGAAAAACATACCGGATATTGCACTGCGATTTGAATAAAGGACACCTGGCTTTGCTGCCGGACAGCGTGTGCACCCAGGGGAGGTTGGCTGTGACAGATCTGGCTGAAACAACCCGTGAAGGTGTGGTGGCTATATCTGTGCCACGCTGTGGAGCAGCAGCTGGGCAGCCTCGGGGCCAGCTGAGTTTCTTGTCAGCCCGGTGGAGCATCCTTGAGTTGTATGCAGGAATACAGGAAGGTGTGCCCTATGCTTTCAATATACCACAGAGAGTGCTTAAACCAGGGTTTGAGTAACACAGACTTCTTAATTTATCCAAGCACTGGAGAGCTTGTCAAAGACATTCCTTGTAAGAGCCCTTGATGTTGCTTGCCTTCTGGGCAGGCAGTCTAGAGAAAAAGCAGGCTGCCTGCAATAGGCCATACAAAATTCCGAGCGATTCGAACCTGCACAGGTGCAGGCGTAGAGCATCCATGCAAACAGTGCGAACAGAAAAATACAGCTCTGGAGGCTGCAAAACTATTGGTCAAAAATACAGTGTCTAGTGATGTGAGAGCTGAGTACTCACTGCACATGTGCAATCTGAAGACGGACTGGAAAAAGAGCTGTGAAGTTCTCTGACATACAGACTTTCATGCCTGTATACAGAGTTAGAATTAGATTTGTGATGGAGAGGACTGTGCATAGTCTAAGGGGCCCTATTTTCTCCCAGCTCTGTTTGGATGATGTGAGCTACTCCTGCTTGAGCCTGATTTCCCCTTCTTCTCTGTCCTGAACTTACTCTAGCCTCAGACCGCTTCCATAGGTGAACCACTCTAAGCCTGGCTCTGCCTATGTCCAAATATCCCTAGCTCTAAATGCAAAACCAGCCCTGGCTCCAGTTCTGAAAGATGAAACTGTGACTCTGGATCCTTGCGCTTTTGAACTCTGAAGCTTTCAAATTGCAACCTGTTTTCATTTTACTCCTTGTCAGAGCAAAATACAGATTTCACAGCCTGAGAATATTTTTGCAAAATTGAATTTTTGTTTTTCAGTTTGTGCTAGTTACAATACAATACTTTAGGCTCTGTCAGACATCTGCTTCACTCTGGAAGTTCAGGGATACATCTTAAAATAAAAGTGCAAACCAAAAAAAAAAAAAAGATTGCTAGTGGTACTTCTTAGAAGTTCTGACTGAAATAGTAAAGTTTGAGAGAGCCATGATAGAAGACATCTGTGAGTAAAAAGGATGCATTTTTCTGCAGTTACCAGCAGCTGCAGGTTGTCTGAACTCAGCCTTCTGTGCTCTTCCAGAAGCCTGCTTCTCTCACAGCTAGTACGATGCAGTGCTTTAAGCTGAGCACGTAAAAATTCAGGCTTTCAGAGAAGAAGAGTCTCCTTGGTAATAAAACTCCCTTGATTTTCAGCTACTTGAAAGTCCCTTCTGCTGCCAGGTTGGCTTCAGGCTTCATTGAACCACTCATCTCCATTCGGTGGAAGGGGCTATGGCTTCAGTGGACTTTGTTACATGAGGCTTTGGTCCTGCCTTGTTTCCTTCCGTTTCTAAGAGCCAGCTGGGAGACTCTTACTTCATTCAGAGGCATTTCCTCTTTCAGGGCATGACTTTCATTCAGAGGACTTCTAGGATGAGGACAAAGGTGGAAGACATGTATGGGATATTTGGGGGAAGAAGCACTGCTACCAGTGGCACTTGTCTGAACCAGGGTGATAAAGAAGGCAAGCAGCCAAGGGACTCACTGGAAGGGTGCTCTCAGAAAAGCAGATGTCTGGTACCTGTGCTGAAGTTTAATTCCCAGTCCTGCCATGGTAACAGATGCAGGATTCAGCAGAAACGCTCGAACAAGCCTAGCCTTATTTAAAGCACTGAGTTTCCAAGTCAACAACTCCTGTGTTGCCAAGATACAGACATTAGAAAAAAAACCCAACAACAGCAACAAAAAGCTGTCACGGAGGGAGATCCGCGCCCTCTCTGCAGGGACATCATTGTTCAGTACTAATAATGTCACACGCAGGCTCAGGATGGCAGTTGCTGTCCTTCCCAACCACAAAGGCTTCCCTCGCAGGACAAAAAGGCTCAGTGCCCCAGGGTGCTAATTCTCTACTTCAGACAGACAGTGAGCCGGCAAACTGGGTGTTTGGAAGGTGTAATTTCTGGCAGCCGGTACCAGCAACTGAACTCAGTTCATTTTAGTAATACGGAGAGCTGCTGTGGAGATAAGGGCGGCTGCCCCAACTTGCCGTAGGAGGGCAGCAGCCTACAGCCAGACAGGGTCTGACGATGGGACTGTGTATTCTGAATAACTCACCCTTTTCCTCTGTTTTATTTATTGTCATTTATACAAATACAGTGGAGGGCAGCTATTCCTATGCTCTCAGCCATCCATCCTACATCTTTTTCATGCATGCAAGTAACACATCTCTATATTGTCTGTTCATCCATCTGGATGAGGGCCTGCAGCAGGGATTACTGCGTGCTGCCATACTCTGCAAAGATGCTGTAGGGTAAAAGGCACTCCTCTCAAACAGATGATAATAAGGAGAGCAAGCAGCTGTGGACCCCAACAGAAAAATGTTGAAACCAATGAGGTGGTTGAAAAGAGGGAGACTAATAAGACAAGGTAACTCATAGCCTTACCCCCTGTTTTTCATACCATGTATGTTTTTCACTGTCTGGCATCCTTTATGGGAGCTCTCTGTTGTCTCCATTGACTTCAGGATACAGATCAAAGTTTTAGTATTGTCAGTGGTGGTGCTATCTAGTCATTGGTATGTGGGGCTGGAAAGGACCATCTCTCTTGAGTGCACTCCTGCAAACAACAAGCACACATACCTTCTTTTTTCTCCATTTCCTTTGAGATCTTTGCTATCCTAGGGTTGATTTTCACACTGAATCACTAGCAAGTTCCTGTCTTGAGTTTAAATGAACAAAAGATTTTCAAAGCTAGGTGTCTCCTAAACTGCATTCAGAAACCTAAACTGCTGCTGGACTTTCAGAGATGACGAGTGCTGAATGCCCTTTCTCTCTGCTCTCAGAGACAGTAAATAATTTCCTTCTTATATATAATCTAAATCTATGCTCTTTCAGTTTAAAACTATTACTCCTCCTCCTATCCATACACCCCCCGATAAAGAGTCTTTCTCCTTCTTTCCTGTAGCCCCCTTTAAGTACTGGAAGGTCACTATAAGGTCTCCCCGGAGCCTTCTCTTCTCCAGGCTGAACCCCCCCAACTTTCTCAGCCTGTCCTCACAGGGGAGGTGCTCCAGCCCCCTGATCATCTTTGTGGCCTCCTCTGGAACTGTTTGAGCAGCTCCATGTCCTTCTTCTGTTGGGGGCCCCTGTGCTAGACACAGGACTGCAGGTGGTGTCTCACGAGGGTGGAGTAGAGGAGGAGAATCACATCCCTCAACCTGCTGGCTACACTTCTCTTGATGCAGCCCAGGACATGGTTGACTTTCTGGGCTGTGAGCACACATTGCTGGCACAAAGTCGGTTTTCCATCCACCAATAACCCCAAATCCTTCTCCGCAGGGCTGCTCTCAGTCCAGCATCACCCAGCCTGTATTTGTGCTTGGGATGGCCCCAACCCATGTGCAGGACCTTACACTTGGCCTTGTTGAACTTCATGATGTTTGCACTGTCCCACCTCTCCAACCTGTCCAGGTCCCTCTGGATGGCACATCCCTTCCCGCCAGCATGTCGCTGCTCCAGACAGCTTGGTGTTGTCAGCAAACTCGCTGAGGGTGCGCTCATCCCACTGTCCATGTCACAGACAAAGATGTTAAACAGCGCTGGTGCTCCTCACTGCTCTCCACTCGGACATGTGGCTCTTTGTTGACTGCAACTCTCTGAGTGTGATCATCCAGCCACTTCCTTATCCACCAAGTGGTCCATCCATCAAATCCACATCTCTCCAATTTAGAGACGAGGATGTCATGTGGGACAGTGTCAAATTCTTTGCACAAGTCCAGGTAGATGACGTCAGTTGCTCTTCCTTTATCCACCAGCACTGTAATCCCATCATAGAAGGCCACCAAGTTTGTCAGGCATGATTTGCCCTTAGTGAAGCCATGCTGGCTGTCGTCAATGACCTCCTTATTTTCCCTGTGCCCCAGCATAGTTTCTGGGAGGAAACAGAACAGAGTATAAGAGAAAGAGGAGTTTAAGATGGTAAAAGTGTCCAAGTGATTGTTTGCATGTCATAAGTCATGCCTCCCCGTTGAAGCTGGGGCTGATGGGTAGGGGTCTCATATAGATTTTATTTCTGTGGATGCTCAGGCAGAATTCACCTCTGTTAGTCCATTCTCTGCTGTTAGCCTCTTGTCAGTCTCTGGTGGTCAGGTGTTGGTCACACAGCTTTTATTGAAGTCTGGAAGCATCTTGTTCCCTGCTAAAAGATAGTTCCAGTATTGTTTTTCATGGTGCCCACCCTGATTCTCTGGAGCTCTTTCTGGTCATTTGGGTAGTTTTGTAGCAGTCCTGCTGCTAAGTGAACCAGCATGGAAAAGGATAGTCAAGGAGACAGGGAACTTTGGTAAGCAGTGGTAGGTGTTGCCTGTCTCCTTGAGTCCTTCAGGATTCCACCTCAGTCCTGCAACTGGGAAAATAGAGCATCACACTGTCCTGTCTCACTCTATGGACTAGGGTGAGGTTATTTTAATTCTCTGTGCCGTAAGAGGAGTGATGACAATCACTCAAAAGGTTTTTCCAACTAACAGATTTACTTGAAACTCAGCAGTGACACAATGGACAGTATAACAGCTAGGCAAAACTCGAATAATGACCAAAACTTCTGAACACAATGGAAAACAGTGGCTTAGGCAAAACTTGCAACAAGATCACTCCTGTGTACCTAGAATGAGGTCAGAAAAGAGAGAGAGAGAAAAAAAAAGAATGATAAGAAATAAGGAGTGGGAGCAAGAAGGAGAAGAAAAGATATCACCACCATTGGATCCAGTGATGACCTCTGCTCATAGTTGGGGTTCTTTGGTAGTTGGCATGTGCCTGACAACACTACATATACTACAAGTGCCCGCCCCTACAGGCGGGGATTCTGGCGTCACTGAGAAAGTGCAATGAAAGTTTGAGAATGTTCTGGAAATGAGTTGGTGGGCTGTGGGGGCCTTGGTGGTCTTGCACTCCCCCCTCGCCAGACTTGACCGAAGGTTACTTTCCATGGGTGCACACATGCAGTGGCATGATCGAGGGTTACCTTCCACAGGCATGTAAGTGCAGGAGATGGGTAGTTTATGTGGTTCTCGGGAGCAGGGATGAGGGCTCACCAGACACTGCCCCCCCCTCCGCAGACCCTGTCTGCTTGCTTTTGCTTGTATCAAGATGGAGATTTGAGACAATTCCCCACTCCATTTTGACTCGGGATCTCACACATGCCACCACCAAGATCTGCAGCACTACTGCACCTTGGGGGAAAGAGGCCAGGTGGGGACTTTTGGAGAAGATTGCCTTCATACATGCTAAAATCTCTGCTGGGACTCAACCTGTGAAGTTTGCCATAATACAGAGTGGTCTAGTGTCTTGAGTGCAGCAGAAGTCCCTCATCCTCTCCCAACTCATCCTTCACCTGGTGTTGGGACCATCCATCTACCATCCCTGCCCCAATGTACACCTGCATACCAGCCTCCCAACCCTGTTCACCTACACCTCATGGGGGGAGTATCGTGGGGGGTTGTGCCACGGGAAGTAGAACAGGCTCTGATGCCTCCCTCAGCACTCTGCTGTGACAAAGCCAAATTGCAAGATACAGCTTGGGAGGCAAAGGTGAGTGAGGTCTAACAGCCTGGAGTGGGAGAGAAGACAGCTGGTGTCTAGAAGACCCTTGCTATTAATCATAATATTGTCCTCTAATCATTTCAGCACTGGTTAGGATTGTATATATTAAGGAGCACAAGACAGCATAAGTCTTTTTCCATCACTACACAGGTCAAAGTGTCATGCTCTGCTTCTCTTTGGTGTTGCAAAGCCAGGCTATACCACTGCAGGCTACTGTACTTCAGCATTTTGCTAGTAAACATCTGACACAATTTAATTCTCGTTTGCCAGAGGTACCTTGCAGGCAGGATGTTGTTAGCCAGCAGCTCTCCAGAGTTGCTTAAACTCGTTACAGAAAACCCAGAGGAAAGAGCTGGTGGATTCCACTCAATTTTGAATTGATTTGGGCTTAGGAGTCTTAACTGTGCTTCACAAATATGTGGAGACAAAAAGCAGGGAGAAGGTGAGTAATTTCAGTGCAGAATCAGCAACAACAAAATAGATTCTGTATTCCTCATATAAAGGAATTCACTGAACCATGCTTTCTGGAAAGCTTCCTTCCTCCCGGAGTGCCTATCACAGTCTGCTTTCCAGCTAGATAACGACATCTGCAGCAAATTAGATTAGATTACCTTTGAAAAAAACATGCAGGGTGGGGCACAGGAGCTTGTGGTAGGATAGGCCAGTGCTCTGCATTATTAATTTAGTTACATTGGGCTCAGATAAATCTTATCAAATTTAATTTAGATGGAGTATGGGACAGACAGACTTTGAAGCTGTGGTTGGTACTAATGACACTGTTGACTTTATTCCTTGTCAGTGTCTTGAATAACATTGAGACCCCAGTGGGGAAGGAAAAGTGGGACAGTGAAATAAAGTGCCTGGTCATGGATTTATTTGATTAAGTCTTGTCTAAGTTGCTGTAGTCGATGGAGGCATGCTGACATATCAGCAGAAGCTTTTGCTTGTTCTTTGTACTCCTGTAGTACTGAGAAGCCCAAATCCTGTGTCAGCATCTCACCATTGTGAAAGATCAATATGTAGATTCTGTGTGTGGCTGAAGGCAAGAATATTCTAGTACGGAAATTAGTTAGGGAAAGAAGACTTCAGTGCTGGGTTGCCTGGTGCTCCTCTTGCCTATTTTTCTGAATTATGGAATCATAGAATCATTGAATCATTCAGGTTGGAAAAGACCTGTAAAATTATCAAGTCAACTGTTCACCTTGTGCTGCCAAGCCCACCACTAAACCATGTCCCGAAGCACCTCATCCACACATCTTTTAAATACCACCAAGGATGGTGACTCAGACACTGCCCTGGGCAGCCTGTTCTAATGCTTGATAACCCTTTCAGTGAGGAAATTTTTCCTAATATCCAATCTAAACTTCCCCTGGTACAACTTGAGGCCATTTCTTCTTGTCCTATTGCTTGTTACTTGGGAAAAGAGACTAATACCTTGCTACAACCTCCTTTCAGGTAGTTGTAGAATGCGATAAAGACTGTTCTGAGCCTCCTTTTCTCGAGGCTATACAACCCCAGTTCCCTCAGCTACTCCTCATAAGACTTGTGCTCTAGACCCTTCACCAGTCTCATTGCCCTTCTCTGGACATGCTCCAGCACCTCAATGTCATTTTTGTAGTGAGGGGCCCAAAACTGAACCCAGAAATCGAGGTGCGGCCTCACCAGTGCCGAGTACAGGGGTCAGATCCCTTCCCTGTCCCTGCTGGCCACGCTAGTGCTGACACAAGCCAGGATGCCATTGGCCTTCTTGGCCCCCTGGGCACACTGCTGGCTCCTGTTCAGCCGGCTGTCCAACAACAACTACAGGTTTTTTCCCACCAGGCAGCTTCCTAGTCACTCTTCCCCAAGCCTGTAGAGTCATGTAGGGTTGTTGTGGCCCAAGTGCAGGACCCAGCACTGAGCCTTGTTGAACCTCATACAATTGGTCTCAGCCCATGGCTCCAGCCTGTCCAGGTCTCTCTGCAGAGCCTCCCTACCCTCAAGCAGATCAACACTCCCACCCAACTGGGTGTCGTCTGCAAACTGACTGAGGGTGCACTAGATCCCCGTGTCCAGATCATTGATAACGATATTAACCAGAACTGGCCCCAGTACTGAGCCCTGGGGAACAACACTTGTGACCGGCCGCCAGCTGGATTGAACTCCATTCACCACAACATTTTGGGCCCGGCCATCCAGCCAGATTTTACTCAGTGAAGAATACACCCATCCAAGCCATGAGCAGACAGTTTCTCCAGGAGAATGCTGTGGGAAATGGTGTCAAAGGCTTTACTAAAGTCCAGGTAAACAACATCCACAGCCTCTCCCTCATCTACTCAGTGGGCCGCAGGACCTTCCTTTCATGAACCCATGCTGACTGGGCCTGATCACCTGGTTGTCCTGTATGTGCTGCATGATGGCACTTAAGATGATCTGCTCCATAACCTCCCCTGGCACTGAGGGCAGAGTGACAGGCCTGTAGTTCCCTGGATCATCCTTCCGGCCCTCCCTGTAGATGTGTGTCACATTTGCTAACCTCCAGTCAACTGGGACCTCCCCGGTTATCCAGCACTGCCGATAAATGATGGGAAGTAGCTCACTGAGCACTTCGGCCAGTACCTTTGGGTGGATCCCATCCAGCCCCATAGACGTGTGTGTGTCTAAGTGGTGTAGCAGGTCACTAACCATTTTCTCTTGGCTCAGAGGGCTTCGTTCTGCTCCTTGTCCCTGTTTGCCAGCTCAGGGGGCTGTGTATGCGGAGAACAACTGGACTTACTATTAAAGACTGAGGCAAAAAAGGCATTAAGTACCTCAGCCTTTTCCTCATCTTTTTGTCACTATGTTTCTCCCTGTATCCAGTAAAATTTCCTTTTGTTTCTAATGCATTTAGAGAAACATTTTTAATTATCTTTCATGGCAGTAGCCAGGTTAAATTCTAGTTGGGCTTTGGCCCCTCACTTTTTCCCTGCATAGCCTCATGACATCCTTGCAGTCCTCCCGAGTTGCCTGCCCCTTATTCCAAAGATGATAATCTTTCCTTTTTTTTTCCCCAAGTTCCAGCCAAAACTCCCCGTTCAGCCGGGCTGGTCTTCTTCCCAGCCAGCTCGTCTTTTGGCACATGGGGATGGCCTGCTCCTGCACCTTTAGGATTTCCTTGTTGAAGAATGTCCAGCCTTCCTGGACTCCTTTGCCCTTCAGGACTGCCTCCCAAGGGACCCTGTCAATCAGGCTCCTAAACAAGCTAAAGTCTGCCCTCTGGAAGTTCAAGATAATAGTTCTGCTGACCCCCCTCCTTACATCTCCAAGAATGGAAAACTATTATCATTTCATGGTCTCTATGTCCAAGATGGCCTCCAGCCATCACATCACCCACAAGTCCTTCTCTGTTCACAAATCAGGCCCAGTGGGGAGTTTTCCCCAGCTGGCTCCCTCACCAGCTGTGTCAGGAAGTTATCTTCCACACACCCCAGGAACCTCCTGGACCGTTTCCTCTCTGCTGTAGTGTATTTCCAGCTGACATCTGGTAGGTTGAAGTCCCCATGAGGACAAGGGCTAGTGATTGTGAGACTTCTGCCAGCTGCTTATAGAATATTTCATCTGCCTCTTCATCCCGGTTGGGTGGTCTGTAACCAACTCCCACCATGATATCCTCTTTGTTGGCCTGCCCTAATTCCTACCCATAAACACTCAACCCTACTGTCACCATCATTAAGCTCTAGACAGTCAAAACACTCTGTATACATACAGGGCTATTCCCCACCTCTCCTTCCTTGCCTATCCCTTCTGAAGAGTTTACGGCCATCCATTGCAGCACTCCAGTTCTGTGAATCATCCCACCATGTTTCTGTGATACTATGTCATGGTTTTCCTGCTGCCCAGTGGCTTCCAGCTCCTCCAGTTTGTTGCCCACGCTGTGTGCATTGGTGTAGATGCATTTCAGCTGGGCTATTGATCCTGCCCCCTTTTTGCAGTGAGAAGCCCTAATTCCTATGTGACCATTTTCAGGTGCTTCTGTGGTTTCTAACACATCAGTAACCCTTGTGTCTGCTGCCTCACGGACCTACATCCCATACATCCACTGAGATGGCAGACTGGAGGATCTCACTAGCACAATGTCTCTCAAACACTGGCATGCTGCCCCCAGGCTTATCGCTAGTGAGCCTGGTTTTATCCCTTTCTCCCTTCACATCTATTTTAAAGCTGGCAGGGCTTCAGCGTCCTTCCTGCATATCCTTCTGCACAATCCTCTGCACAAACTGCTATGCCATGCCCTTGCTGACATGGCACACCCTGTTTGCCCTCCCTGATTGCAGTGCTCCCGGTCACTAGTGCTCCCTAAGGGTTTCTTTTATAGGTGTGGGGGAGCTTGGCCACCATTGCTCCTGACCCCACCAAGGTCCCATCAGCTGCTGTAGCTGAGCTGCTGGCTCCTGGAGGGTCTCTTGGCTCCCCTTCCAGTTTGGGAAGCCCCCCTGTACACTGCGTTGGAGTGCTCTGCTGCCCATCATGCCAGCACTGGAGCTGCTCTCCTTGGCGACTGAGTTACATACCACCTTCTGGCATATGGACTGGGTGCAGTCCCACCATCTCTAGTTCCCTCAAGTGTTGGATACCCTCCTCAGTGGTGGTCCACTTGCCCAGGCAGCATACCACGTAGTCCTTGAGGGAGTAACAGGCTTTGACAGTCAACAGGAACCACGTCCAAAGGCTGTGGGTTTCAATTCTCTTTCCAATCACTTTGTCAATCCCAGTGTTCCTACTAAGGGATCCCAGCTGCCTGGCATGCCTGCTGCCTGACTTCTGACAGTGGACCCCCAGTATCCCAACACTGGGGGCAACCAGGCAGCAATCTCCCACCTGGCTTGTGGCTGTCATTTTTCCACAGAACTCACAGCTTCTTTAGGTTTAGGGCCCAAGTGGTTGTGCCATCCTTGGTGCCTGTCATTTCCTTGTCTTGCTTCCTCTGATGGTGCTGGACAGAGGGTCAGTAGGCACAGGCCAAGCCCCAGAGCATTTCTAGAAGTCGCTAGGTCCCACTGGGTTAGTCAAGACACCCTTCATTCAAGTGGTGTGCCAATTTTCCAGGCCTGTTCAGGTGTAAAATTTCAGGCTATCAGTGGTGATAACTGCCTTTGGCACAAACTCTGCCACCACCAATTGAGCAACTTGGGACACATTTCTCTGACACCTTTCCAACAAAATGTTTACTCTATGCCAGGACCAAGCCAAGTTCCACACACCAAACAAGCCAGTGATGTTAGATCATAGAATCATAGAAAGGTTTGGGTTGGAAGGGACCTTAAAGATCATCTAGAACCAATCCCCCTGCCATGGGGTTATGATAATCTATACTAATATAATATAGATAATGTGATCAAACAGCATACATGAGGATGTAGAAGAAACTTGGGACCCCATGCAGCAGAGCTGGACACATCCATCCTGGAGAAGCAGAGGGAGGTGTTATCCCTTGTTGTCTCTGCAAGGTAGCTCACAGTGCAGGAACACCATCAGTGCCAGGGCCATATGCCAGCCCTGGCACATGGCCATTGCTTTTATCAAAATGTGTCCAGGCACAGTGGAGTAAAGTGATAAGCACCACAGCAAACAACAAAAGCAGCCACTGACAAGCCCTGGACTCTGGTGAAGCAAGCAAGCTCCCTGACCAGCACAAACCCTGCAAGTTAACAACTGTAACTGCTATAGGACACTTAAATCAAAACTGTTGTTATCTCAAGCCCCATAATGTGCTTGAAAAAGGAGTGCTGTGGTTTGACCCTGGCTAACCTACTCAACTGCTTGCTCACTCCCCTCTCTTGTGGAATGGGGGGAAACCAGAAGGAGGGTGTGGCGTCTTGTGGTTTGAGGTAATGACTTTTTAATAGGGAGAGCAAAAGACAAAGTGAAAAAAAAAAGAAAGAAATTTATTCACTACTTCCCATCGGCAGGCAGATGTTTAGCCACTTCCTGGCAAGGAGGATCTCACCATTTGTCACCATAATTGCAAATATCCCCCCTTCTTCCTCCTTTCCTTGAGCTTTTATTGCTGAGCATGACATGGTATGGTATGGAATATCCCTTTGGTCCGTTGGGGTCGGCTGTCCTGGCTGGATCCCCTCCAGTCCCTTGCCCATCCCCAGCCAGCTTGCTGGGTGGAGTGGGCAGAGTAGGAAAGAGAAAAAGCCTCGATGCTGTGCAAGCTCTGTTCAGCAATAGCCAACTATTGGTGTGTTGTCAACAGCATTTCAGCCACAGATCTGAAGCATAGCTCCACAGGGGCTGTTAGGAAAACTGATAACTCCATCCCATCCAGACCCTGAACAACTCTCTAGCAAAGATCCTGAAGGACCCAGATGTACTGGAGAAGCTGGCACAAGTTCATAAACAAGTTCATAAAAAGTCACTGATCTTATTTACAAGTTATTATGGAAATGGTTGATAGGTCCCAGGGAGACAGTTTTTCATGGCTCCTGAAGTTGCTCAGAAATTCTGATGGAGTCCAGAATGTTTTGCCTTGGATTACACAGGGCACTTTTAGTGTTTTGAGACCACATAGCATCGATGCACTTCTACATAGGCACACACAGCACCCACTTAACCACAGTGCTCTGTACCATGGGAATAGCTTGCAGACCATTGTTTTCACAGATCTTCTTGCTTGAATAGATTATACCAGGACTAAGAGCTTTTCACAAAGAGGTCAAGTATTTATGAGCCTGGAAAAAGAGCAAATACATTTCTTTGCAAGTTAAAGTAAATCCATCTGGGATCTTAAAAAATTTAACAGATTAACTTCAGGAAGGTACACTGCTTGCTTCAAGACAAGTGGAGACATGGAGACATCTCCATTAGAGCTCCCTCAACACACAGAGGGTACAGTCATCCTGAATTGTGAGGCTGTGTCAAGGGACACATGTCACTGTAGCAGCTGCTCATTTCTAGATGCTCACTTCATCCATGTGTCCTGCAACCCATCGTGCTGTTAGCTACATTTGCCTGTAAGGACATTTGTCTTCTCAGCAATGCCGTAATGGTTAGATATGCTACAGCCAACTGCAAAATGTCACAGACCTTCAGAAATGACTGCAGCGAGTCATATGTGCCGTTTCATAATGAAGTTAAAAGAGGTAATTTTTCTCCCCTGTTCCAGGTACAGCAGTTTACACTGAAGAGCTCTGTCATCTTACACAAATGTTCATTAAACATGAAGTGTCTAAACTACCAAAATAAGAGAGCCCACACCTGACCTTCAGTCCTCAGGAGTCAGTCTTACTCAGTAGGTAACTGAATTATGAAATTGCTGACTTTATGATGCGAACGCACACACATTTAGCTAAATGCGGTTCCCATTTTCATGTCTATAAATTAGGAGTGGGTTTATTGCAAAACTGTTAGACTCTTTTGCTGGCAACCTCTGAAGTGCTTTATGCGAGTTGAAATTCAGTTGAAACCAAATTTCTGCTGATGTCATTCAAGTTCTGATCATTTTCCCCAAAAGCAAATTCTGCCCCTGCTTTGTTACAGTGCATGAATAAAAAGTATTTTGTTCCTGGCCAAGAGCACACAAACCGTGCAAACAAAGGCTTTCTGCATCAGGGACCTCCAGGTCAGTTTGCTGTAGTGATTGTAAATGGGAATGAATAAGC